AAATAAAATAAAATTAGCCAGGCTTGGTAGCACGCATCTATATTTCCAGTTACTTGGAAGACTGAGGCGTAAGGATCAATCGCTTGAGCCCAGCAGGTTGACGCTGGGGTTGCTATGAGCATGCGTGCCACTGCACTCAAGTCTGGGCAACAAAGTGAGACTTCAACTCAAAAAAAAAAAAATTTAGCCGGGTTTGGTGGCTCAGCCTGTAATCCCGCGCCTCTGGGAGGCTGAGGTGAGTGGATTGCCTGAACCTGCGAGTTCAAGACCCGCCTGGGCAGCGAGACCTCATCTCTACAATAAATCAAAAAATCAGCCAGGCATGGTAGCACATGCCTGCAATTCCAGCAACTTGGAAGGCTGAGGCAGAAGGATTGCCAGAGCCCAGCAGGTCGAGGCTGCGGTGGCCGGGAGCGGCCACTGCACTCCAGTCTGGGCGACAGAGTGAGACTCCAACTCAAAAAAAAAAATTTAAAGCAGATCATATATAAGAACAGCATTTTCTTTCCTAAAATGAATCCAACATTACAAAATTCAACTGAGAGGTTTATATATATATAAATTGATTTTTTAAAACTTGATAACTCAGATGACCAAATGGAGTTCATTCCATGAATGAACGAAGGGTTCAATAGTAAGACATCTATTAATATAATTAACCACATTAAGAAGGAAAACCATATAATTATATCCATGAATGTTGAAAATGCATTTGTAAAATTCAACATCTATTTATAATGCAATGTAATAGTAATAGAAAAATAGAGAGAAATTCACCAAAGTATACATAATGTTTAATGGTAAGGCACTAAAAGTAGTCCCTTAAAAATTACAAAGGCAAAGATGTCTACCATCACCACTATTTAACATTATTTTGGAGGAGGTAATATTATTCTTTGCAGGTTTTTTTAAATCCAGAAAACTTAAGAAAATCTACCAAAAAAAACTATTATTAGCAATAAGAGAATTCAGTAAGTCCTAGATATAAAATCAATAACATTAATATAGTAACTACAATCTATTAGAGTTATAAGAATATGAGCTATTGCATTTACAATAGCAACAACAACTTAGGAAATAAACATAACAAATGTGCAAGGTTTATGTGAACAAGTTACTGAGGAACCCAAAAGAGGACCTAAACAATGGAAAAGCATACCATGTTCATAAATAGCCACCAGGAACATAATGATGAATTTTTCCTTTAAAAAAAAAAATCTATAAATGTGGGATGGGCTCAGTGGCTCAGCCTGAAATCCCAGCATTGTGGGAGGCTGAGGTAAGTGGATTGCCTAAGCCCATGGGTTCAAGACCAGTCCAGGCAATGGAGAGAGACCACGTCTCTACAATAAATTGAAAATTAGCCAGTCATGGTAGCATGCACCTGTAATTCCGGCTACTTGGAAGGTTGAGGAGAAAGGATCACCAGGGTCCAGAATATTGATACTGGGGTGGCCGTCAGTGTGCCACTGCACTCTGGCCTGGGCAACAGAGTGAGACTACAACTCGGAAAAAAAAAAAAAAAACAACTATAAATGTAAAGCAAGACAATTAAAAATATATCAACAGGATTTTTATAAAGATTTGACAAACTGATTCTAAAGTTTATGTAGAAAAATAAGTATAAAAAATAAAATAATTTTATAGCATAAAATTCTGCAAAGGAAATGTAACAAGGGAGGACTGATTTTGTAAAATATTAAGGTGTATTATAATGCTACAATAATTAAAATGGTGTTATAATGGCAAATGAACAGAAAGATTAATGAAACAGAAGTACTCATAAATATGTATGCCTATGTTTACACACGCTCATACCTATACATATACGTACACACACATATATTTGAGAAATTATTGTACAATAAAGGTGACATTTCAAATTAACAAAGAAAAGACGGATTTTTCAATATTACTGGAATCATCTAAAAAAAATCTTGCATTCCTCCACATGCCTTACACAAAATTCATTCTGGAAGGATTAAGTATTTAAATATGTGATCAAAGATTGCATGAAAAGAAACCATAAATGTCCTACAAGAAAATATAGACTAATGTTTATAAAACATCAACTTTCCTTGATGCAAAACCTATAAGAGATTGACGAGATCACATTAAAAACTGCAGATTTCTAGCTGGGCTCGGTGGCTCAGCCTGTAATCCCGCGCCTTTGGGAGGCTGAGGTGAGTGAATTGCCTGAGCCCGCCGGTTCGAGACCCGCCTGGGCAGCGAGACCTCATCTCTACAATAAATTAAAAAAATCAGCCGGGCATGGTAGCACATGCCTGTAATTCCGGCTACTCGGAAGGCCGAGGCGGAAGGATCGCCGGAGCCCAGCAGGTCGAGGCTGCGGTGGCCGGGAGCGGCCACTGCACTCCAGTCTGGGCGACTGAGTGAGACTCCAACTCAAAAAAAAACAAAAACTGCAGATTTCTGCCTGGCAAAAATATCATCACTAAAGTCAAAAACAGTAACTGGTACAATAAAATATTTTATATTTGCAATATATGTTATAGACAAAGAGCTCCTGTAAATCAGTAAGAAAATAATAGGAAAAAAATTAGCAATCCAATAGGAAAAAAGGATTTAAGCAGTTTACAGAAAAAAAAATACAAATGGTTTCTAAAACACAGAAACAAGCTCAACCTTCAATAAAAAAATGAGAAATGCAAATTACAATGTTGAGATAGCTTTATTGATTTGTTAACTTATTGGTTGGCAAAACCAAACATTTTCTAGCTCACATTGTTGCCAGGGAAACAATTATAGTCGTTATGGCTGGTGAAATTGGTGGCTGGTAAGATTGTAAAATCTGGCCGGGCTCAGTGGCTCAGCCTGTAATTCCAGCAATTTGGGAGGCCAAGGAGAGTAGATTGCCTGAGCCTGCGGGTTCGAGACCCGCCTGGGCAACTTGGCGAGACCTAGTCTCTACAATAAATCAAAAATTAGCCGGGCGTGGTAAGTGCACGCCTGTAATTCCAGCTCCTTGGAAGGTTGAGGCGGGAGGATCGCCAGAGCCCAGCAGGTCGAGGTTGCCCGTGCCACTGCACTCCAACCTGGGCAATAGTGAGACTCCAACTCAAAAAAAAAAAAGATTGTAAAATCTGTGCAACCTCTGTGAAGGACAATTTGACAAAATTCCAAATGTGCATACTCTTAAGAACTAACGAGATCACTTAGGAATTTATCCCACGGGTATACTTATGCTTGTGCAAAATTATGTATGTAAAAGGATATTCATTGCAGCACTGTTTGTGATAGCAATGAATTAGAAACATATGAAGTATCGGGCCGGGCGCAGTGACTCAGCCCGTAATCCCAGTTTTTTGGGAGACCGAGGTGAGAGGATTGCCTGAGACCAGGGGTTCGAGATCCGCCTGGGCAACTTGGTGAGACCTCATCTCTACAGTAAATCGCAAAAACTAGCCGGGTGTGGCGGCGTGAGTCTGTAGTTCCAGTTACTAAGAAGTCTGAGGCAGAAGGATCGCCTGAGCCCAGCAGGTTGAGGCAGCGGTGGCGTGAGCGTGCCACTGCACTCCAGCCTGGGCAACAAGAGTGAGACTCTAACTCAAAAAAATAATAATGAATAAAAGCAATTTAAAATTTTTTTTAAAAACCATATGAAGTGTCCAACATTAGGGAGGTGGTTAAGGAAACACAGGATATTCATGTAATAAAATGTTAAAGCAGATGTTAAAAACAGATATAGAGATAGAAATAAATGTATGTATAATAGATATGGAACTTTCTCCAAAATATATGATTAAGTAAAGAAAATAAGCAAAATGTAGAGAAATGTGTATCTTATGCTACCATATTAGAAAACACTATGTAAGTGTATGTTTAGAATAATTGTGAATGAAGACACAGGAAGCTCACAACATTGCAATATCTCGGGAGATGATCTGGGAGGTTGGGAGGTGACGGTAGGAGGGAGACTGCAGACCTTTTTATACTTGTTGAATTTTGTGCCTTGTGCAAGTATTACATAACCCAAAATAAAAAGCCATAAATTTAAAAAGTAATAAATTTAAAGAACAACGATGAAGTCTATTCACAGGGGCACTGAGAAATAGAACAGGGTTTCTTTCATTTTACTTTATTGGAACACAGAGAAAATTGCTAATCTGGCATTTTCAAAAAAAGAATTAACAGGTTCAAACAAATCAATGTCCGTTTAGTTTTTTCTCATTTGAGCTTGTCAGATTTTAGATGTGCAAATTTCCTGGAAACAGAAAAGACTATTTGCTTTGACTTGCTATCTGAAATGGGTTGTTCCTTTTCAAAAGTTGATTTCATCTGACATTGTTAAACACTTGAATTGCTGTTAGGTCATCTGTACCCTAATTAACACTAATTGATCTCTTGAATGGCAGGATTATTAATGAGGATTAATTACTCATTAGAACATCTGAGCTTGGCCAACACCGGCGGAGGTCTAAGGTCTGGGATGAAAGGTGGGCATCCGGCAGAATCAGAACCACCTCTGCTGAATTAAATGCCTGTTATCACAGCGCGCACTAACTTTTGGCTCATCTCTCAGAATCTGGCTTTTGAAAGCTTTGGTTGGAAAAAAAAATGCAAACCACGCGCAAACTTTAATCTTGTGGGAAAAACAGAGGGTCACATTGTAATTGTGGGTTGCTATCGTGAAGAATGTAATTGGTTTGATAATAAGAAAAAATGTTTTTCAGTGAAATGCCTATGGGAGTATGTTGTTATTCTCCTCCCCAAATCTAAGGTGTAACCTTCTGCTGTTTTTTCAGCCTTGGTTCCTCCTCTCTGCGCGTAAGCAAGTAGATCTCAGCCCTTACTTCACCCCAACTTTGTTTACCTGAAAAAATATTTTTTTTCTTTTTATGGTGTTGCTTTAGATAAAAGTTTAGAGCTTTCAAAAATAAGTTCAAAAATTATTTTCATATATAAATTCATACCTTGAATAGCAAAGCAAGACTTTTCTCACTGTTTTACCTTCCGTGTTGATTTTTATCTGTTTACAGTAAAAGCTGGAGGAATGCGAATTTCCAAAAAACAAGAAATTGGCGTCTTGGAGAAACATACCAAAAAAACAGGATTAGAGAAAACAAGGTAGGGACTGCTTAATTTTTTCTCCATCATCTTAGGGAGTTTTGAGTGACTCTGCTTCCATTAGTTATTTTAGGACAAACCAAGGTTCCCTATGCATTTGGAGGCAGCTAGCCTGTGTGAGGTGGGGATCATAATCTGTGGTGACTTAGAGTGGAAGGTGGGGAGGGGTAGTTGGCTATCTTCTGGAGGTCTCTCTTTAAACCCCATCACGACACCCACCCGCCTCTCTGGGTCCTGCCCAGCAACTTCCTACTTAAAAGACACGATCCTAAATGCATCCAATCCTGACACATGTCCCTTTATCCTATTTTCAGATGGGGCTTTAAAATATCATCCCTAAGCCAGCCCTATTTTCATAATATGCTTTCCGCTGAAGCAAATGTCCTGAATTAAAACTAAATGCCTTTTTTGTTTTAGATGCTTCGCTCAATTATTTAGAAACTAATGGTCACCATATTTGGCAAAGCCAGAAGGCATATAGGTACTGAGGCTGGTTTCCCCCTGCTCACCCACCATCACCTTGACACACTATTCCCAAAACTCAGGGAGAGCTGTGGGCGGGATTGGGTACACAAATGGCCCAACTACTCTAAGCACAGGTTAAGGAAAACGAGTGTATTTCAAAAAGAAAGAAACATATAAAACTGGTTCCTTTAAGTAGCTAATAGGAAGCGCTTCAGAGGCTATTAATTTTAGGGCAATTTCCTAAATCAGTTGATGAGTGGTTCAAAAGAAGTCAACTAGAGGTTTGCTCAAGGCACCTCTTTAAGAGTTAAGTGGCACCAGTCTCAGGAAGAAAATGTGGAGGGAACCAAGCCATGGGATTTCTTTGACTCTTTCATATGCAATTATTTTTAAAATCACTTTTAAAGATTTCTTCCCAATTTCTGGAAAGGAAGTTTTTATGGATTTCCCCCTCCACTTTGGAATGAAATACTGATTTGCCCCATGAGCAGCAAGTCATTTGTTTCTTCTGATATCAGAAAATAACCATCACATGATGAAAGCAAACCTATAAGTCCTCAAGAGTGGAGGTCACACACATTATTTATCTTCTGGCTCGGTATAGTGAATGTACTCTGTAAATAATATCAGACTGTGGTTGAATTGCAGGCTGATAAATTTTGAAGGTCTATTCTGTTTCTAAACCAGACTCAAGCATAGGCCCAGTTTCTTGTGATACTGGTTAACATACCCAAGCCAGGGGCTCAGAAACTAAAGATTCTTGCCTTGAAAATGACTTTTGGCCGGGCTCGGTGGCTCAGCCTGTAATCCCGCGCCTTTGGGAGGCTGAGGTGAGTGGATTGCCTGAGCCCGCGGGTACGAGACCTCATCTCTACAATAAAAAAAAAAAATCACCCAGGCATGGTAGCGCATGCCAGTAATTTCAGCTACTCGGAAGGCTGAGGTGGAAGGATCGCCGGAGCCCAGCAGGTCGAGGCTGCGGTGGCCAGGAGCAGCCACTGCACTCCAGTCTGGGCAACAGAGTGAGACTCCAACTCAAAAAAAAAAAGACAATGACTTTTAGTGGGCAGCCAATGGACAGTCATTCATTTCTCTGCATCTCAGAAAAATGGAGATTTACTATTAATTTTAACATCAGGTGAACAATGCAGGCAGAGGAGTTGGCTAGAGAGTAGTAAGTGGTGATTAGAACTTTCTTTAAAAACTCATCTATGGCTGGGCTCAGTGGTACAGCCTGTAATCCCAGCACTTTGGGAGGCCGAGGCGAGTGGATTGCCTGAGCCCACGGGTTTGAGACCAGCCCAAGCAACTTGGCGAGAACTCGTCTCTACAATAAATCAAAAATTAGCTGGGCGTGGTAGCGTGCGCTTGTAGGTCCAGCTACTTGGAAGGCTAATGCTGAAGGATCCAGAGCCCAGCAGGTCGACACTGGGGTGGCTGTGAGCATGCAACTGCACTCCAGCCTAGGTGACAGAGTGAGACTCTGACTCAAAAAAAAAACTCAACTATGGCCGGGCACAGTGACTCACGCCTGTAATTCCAATACCTCAGGAGGCCGAGACAGGAGGATCACTTGAGCCCAGGAGTTTGGGACCAGCCTAGGCAACATAGCAGACATTGTCTCTAAAAAAAATTTTTTTTTAATTAGCTACACATGGTAATGCAAACTTGTAGTCTCATCTACTCTAGAGGCAGAGGCGGAAAGATTGCCTGAGCCCAGGAGGTCAAGGCTTCAGTGAGCCATGATTGTGCCACTGCACTCCAGCCTGGGCAACAGAGTGACACCCTAACTCAAAAAACAACAACAACAAAAAACCCTTCAGTTGTTTTCTAATAGTCTTTAAAAGATGGGAATTGGCAACAGAGTGACATCCTAACTAAAACAAAAAAACAAAAAAAAAAAACCAGAAAAACCCTTCAATTGTTTTCTAACAGTTATTAAAAGATGGAAATTGGACTACTATGGAATTTAAACAGCAAGAGAAGCAGGTTGCAGTGGCTCAACCTGTAATCCCAGCACTTTGGGAGGCCGAGGTGAGAGGATTGCCTGAGCCTGGGGTTTGAGATCAGCCTGGGCAACTTGGTGAGATTGCACCCCTACAATAAAAAAATCACTAAAATTAGCCAGACATGGTGGCATGCGTCTGTAGTTCTAGCTACTTGGAAGACTGAGGCAGTAGGATCGCCTAAGCCCATCAGGTCGAGACTGTGGTGGCCATGAGTGTGCCACTACACTCCAGCCTGGACGACAAGAGTGAGACTCCAACTCAAACAAAACAAAACAAAATAAAACAGCAAGAGATTACTCTCTCTCTTTCCCGAATTACCAGGAACAGATACAGGTTATATGGGGCTTGAAGCTTATAGAACTTATGGGTTGTTTTAAAGAAAAATAAACAAAAATTACAGATATGAAATGACTAGGGCCCCTCCCAAGGCCTTGGGGAAAGCTGATGCAGAGAGAGACCCTGAAGCTTAAGCTTCTTTAGTTCCACAGTACATTCCCCTCTGCTATTTACATCTCCTGTTAGGGTGTGTGCCTGGGATAGAAAGGCCTTGCTTTCATGGACAAACCACTTCTTGTGTCTTCTTGGAGACGACCTTTTAAAAATATATCATAGAAAACAAATTTCTAAGTATCATCAATCTATGTCCACTTCTTAATAACTTCTACTAACCAGCGCAAACCATCCAGAAAAAATTATGCCAGTGCAGAGTTTCCTTCAAGACATTTGTACTGCAGACCCAGCCCTGATTGAAACTCTCCTACAAAATTACTTGGCCTGAGAGAAAGAAGCTAGACACAAAAAAAGTGCATGCTGTAGACAGTTCATTTTACGAAATACAAAAACAGTCAAACCTAATCTATGGAGCCGTAAGTCAGGGTAGTGATTATCCTTAGGGGTAGCTGGCTTGACTGGTTTCAGTTTTATTCACCAAGGTATATACTTACAATATGTGCAGTTTTCTGTATGTGTATTATACTTCAGTGAAAAGCTTTAAAACTAATAATAAAAAATATGCCAAGTACAGAGTGACAAATTACATTTCAAAGCTAAAAAAACTAATAATAATAAGTTGGCCTACGAAGCTTAGTGTATTGCATCATGAGGGTACACAAAGTCAAAATTTTTGTCTTCTAGATGTTGCTAGGGGGGTGGCTCTTCATATAAATCTCTTGGCACCTTTGTGGGAAAGTTTTTAAGTCCTATTTGAAGTTTCTTTTCATCTTCGCAGTGCCCTTGCAAATGTTGCCAAAATACAGACCCTGGATGCCCTGAATGACACACTGGAGAAGGTGAGCCATGGGTGAGGCCAATCACACAATGCTCCAAGTCAGTATTTGCCTAGTGGACCAGGCCACACGGGTGAATGAGCAGATAACCACTGAGGTTTTTTTCAACCCTTTTGAAAGAATCTGCTCTTGGTGAGAGGTATTCAAAGTGTTTTGGATGAGAAAAATTGTTTCTCCCAATTTCCTAAAGTGCCCATTTAATAAATCATTTTAAAAGTAAGATAGGGCCGGGCTCGTGACTCAACCTGTAATCCCGCACCTTTGGGAGGCTGAGGTGAGTGGATTGCCTGAGCCCGCGGGTTCGGGACCCGCCTTATCTCTACAATAATTAAAAAAAAAAAAAAAATTAGCCGGGCGTGGTAGCACGCACCTGTAATTCCAGCTACTCGGAAGGCTGAGGTTGAAGGATCACCGGAGCCCAGCAGGTCGAGGCTGCGGTGGCCAGGAGCGGCCACTGCACTCTAGTCTGGGTGACAGAGTGAGACTCCAACTCAAAAAAAAAAAAAAAAAGATAGAGAAATAGGCTAGGTTTGGTGGCTCAGCCTGTAATCCCAGCACTTTGGGAGGCCGAGGCAAGTGGATTGCCTGAGACTGCAGGTTCGTGACCAGCCTGGGCACCTTGGCGAGACCTTGTCTCTACAATAAATCAAAAATTAGCTGGGCGTGGTAGTGTGTGCCTGTAGTTCCAGCTGCTTGGAAGGCTGAGGCGGAAGGATCACCGGCACCCAGCAGGTCAATGCTGGGGTGGCTGGTGGTGTGCCACTGCTATCCAGCCTGGGTGATGGAGTAAGACTCCAACTCAAAATAAAAATAAAAATAAGATAGGAAATAAAGGGAGAATCATGATGCTGACTTTATGGAACTCTACTGTGCCATCCTAAATATTTCTCAGACACATTGGCATGTTTTTATAAAAGGCAGCCTGTGTAGTGGGAATTCAGCAGTTTTTGGTATCCCTTCCTGCCTCCACGTTCTCATAAGAAAATATTTGATTTGAGGAGGCAGAGTGAAGGAGTGCACAGTTTAGGATTGCAGGAAGGTTGGAAATCAGCTGGATTTATCCAGTAACCTTTGTTTTTAAAGATAGTTAACCTTGCTATTTCTACTTTTTTTTTGAGACAAGTTCTTTCTCTGTTGCTCAGGCTGGAGTGCAGTGACATGATCTCAGCTCACCATAGCTTTGACCTCCTGGTCTCAGGCAATCTTTCTCAGTCTCCGGAATAGATGGGACTACAAGCACATGCCACCATGCCCAGCTACATTTTTTTCTTTTTTTTTTTTTTTGCAGAGATGAGGTCTCGCTATGTTGCCTAGGCTGGTCTTGAACTCCTGGGCTCAAGCAATCTTCCCATCTCAGCCTCCCAAGTGCTGGGATTATAGGTATGAGCCATTGCACCTGGCCTTATTTCTATATCCTGAATTTCTTCTAAGTAGCTCAAGAAGCTCAGAAAACTCTTATCAAGTAGACAGTGGTTTGTTTTTTTGTTCCAATAGCTTGTTTTGTAGTCAAGAACATCATAGATAAGGAATAAAGAACCACTCTTTCTGCTGTACCCACATTTATGGAAGGAACAGGAGTAAGCATCCTCTGTAAAACGAAGACTTTCTGTTACTGCCAAAATCAGGGGTCTGAGGACTATCAGTTCAGCCTTTGAAAAGGACTAGAGCAGAAACTGTGTAGCTGCCCTTTGGTCCTCTATTTGGTCCCACCAGCTTCTCCACCTACCATCTGTATGACCTTGAGCAAGTTACTTATTCTGTGTCTAGGTTCCACATCTGGATAATGTACACCATTCATGGGGTTGTGCAAAATAAATGAGTTCACTGACATGAAGCACTTAGAAGAGTGTCAACACAGAAACTTCTCTGCTCTCTCTGATAGGGTTAGTAGCACTGGTTTTATGGCACTGAAATGAAAACGTTGTCTAGACCGGGCTCGGTGGCTCAGCCTGTAATCCTAGCGCTTTGAGAGGCCGAGGCAAGTGGATTGTCTGAGCCCGCGGGTTCGAGACCCACCAGGGCAACTTGGAGAGACCTCATCTCTACAATAAATTAAAAATTAGCCGGGCATGGTAGCGCGCGCCTGTAGTTCCAACTACTTGGAAGGCTGAGGCGGAAGGATCCCCAGAGCCCAGCAGGTCGAGGCTGTGGTGGCCAGGAGCGTGCCACTGCACTCCAGTCTGAGCGACAGAGTGAGACTCCAACTCAAAAAAAAGAAAAGAAAACGTTGTCTAAAGTCCATGATGTTACAGGACAGAGTATACGAGGCAAGCTCTTGATGATGAGCTGTAGCTCAGCAGAGCCTCCAACATGGGGGGGCTTGGTTCTTCATCCATATAGAGTTGAGGTGAGGTCATAAGTGACTCTACCTTCCTGGCCTCAGAGGTAGGGCTGATGGATGCCACCCAGTCAAGATGACACAGCTGTCCACTCCTGCATCTTATACTCTCTTTCTCCTACTCATTAAAAGCATCTTCCTCAGAGCAATAGAATGCCCACAGTTATAAGTAGAATTGGACAGAAAAGACACGTTCCCCTAAAATAGATGTTAACTTAAAATAAAATGTTTAAAAGGAGTGGTCAATAAAGATTGATCATGCTATATAGTAGATATGACACCAGAGTCTGCATTGTGTTTTCACAGGCATGTATCATTGACATAAGGGTTCTTTCTCTTTTTTTTAGTTGGGATCTCATTCTGCCACCCAGGCCAGAGTGCAGTGCCATGCTCAGCATCTACCCGCTGGGCTCTGGCGATCCTTTCACCTCAGCCTTCCAAGTAGCTAGAACTACAGGCATGCGCTACCACGTCCGGCTAATTTTGATTTATTGTAGAGACAAGGTCTCACCAAGTTGCCTGGACTGGTCTTGAACCAATGGGCTCAGGCAATCCACTCGCCTTGACCTCCCAAAGTGCTGGGATTACAGGCTGAGCCACTTGAGCCTGATTGATTTTACCTTTTTTTGGATAACCACCTTTAACAATTTTATAGCTAGAGAATGCTCAGATGCAATGTGAAACTGTACTAAAAGCACTCTGCACAGCATCTTAGATACCTAGTTATTTTGACTATTTTGTCGCCAAGTTGCCTGGGCTGGTCTTGAACCTGCAGGCTCAGACAATCCACTTGCCTCAGCCTCCCAAAGTGCTGGGATTACAAGATGAGCCACTGATCCCAACTGGTTCTTTCCCTTTTCATTAAAAAAATCACTTCTTCATTTCAAAGACAAAAAGAATAATCTCTTCCCCCAAATTATAATAATAAGCAATAATAATCAGTTATATTTGGAAACTATAAAAGGACATTGAGAGGGTGTGCTATTAGAAATATTTTAACAGCAGCTATGTTTATTTTATTTTAAAAAAACTTTAATGCTTAACTCAGTGTTTACTGGAGAAGGACTATGGCTAAGACTGCACAGATTACTGGTTAGGAGAGCAGGTCTTGCCATCAGCCACAGGCTGCCAGATGCCTATGGTGGCCCTGTCACTCACTAGCTGTGTGTCCTTGGGCAGGTTTCTTCACTTTTTTGTGCTTCTCTTTCCTTGTCTATAAATGGGAATGTGATTACCAGTATCTACTTCACAGGGATATTCTGAGAACAAAATGAAGTCTTATAATACACACAAAGTTCTTAATAAACTCAGACCTCAGGAAGTGTTAGCTTCTGCTCCCAGACATGCATCCTTCTATTACCTGGCACCCAGGCAAAGATTAAGGAACCAACAACAAAAATAAGACTACCATAGGTGTCTATTGCAAGTATGGATGTCAGTGGGATCCATGTGTTTTCCTACGAGTAAGAAAAGTCTACCCTGAATCCTTAACTCAACCTGAAGCATAGTAGGATTTCATTGTAAAATTCAACCAAGGTTTGAGATGCACTGACAACTAGATCTGCTGAGATCATTTTGTCAGGAGCTGGGGGTGGGAGTAAAGGTTGGTCACAAAATAGCAGAAGGAAATTTGAGGGACTAATAGAACTCCTCTATATCTTGATTGTAGTAGTAGTCACAGACTGTGTATACTTGTCAAAACTCGGCCGGGCTCAGTGGCTCAGCCTGTAATCCTAGCACTTTGGGAGAGGCCGAAGAGAGTGGATTGCCTGAGCCCATGGGTTCAAGACCAGCCCGGGGAACTTGGTGAGACCTCATCTCTACAATAAATTTTAAAAATAGCTGGGTGTGGTAGTGCGCGTCTGTAATTCCAGCTACCTGGAAGGCTGAGACGGAAGGCTCGCCGGAGCCCAGCAGGTCAACATTGGGGTGGCCGTGAGTGTGCCACTGCACTCCAGCCTGGGTGACAGAGTGAGACTCTGACTCAAAAAAACAAAAGCAAAAAAACCTCATAAAGCAGTACCCTTAAAAGGGTGAATTTTACTGTAGGTAAATTATCCCTTGATTTTTAAAAATGAAAATCAATGCCACTATAAACTATATAGGCTGATTAAAAAAAAGACATAAAAGATAGATATCTTTTGATAAATTTTTCCGGCTTTACAATGAGTCTCCCCAAAGCACATATTATCACGGAGACCTAACAATATGCAATTGGTCAGAAGAAATGCTGTAGCAGAATTGAGGATCATATCCTCTGCATTTATTTATTTATTTATTTATTTTGAGTTGGAGTCTCACTCTGTCACCCAGACTGGAGTGCAGTGGCCGCTCCCGGCCACCGCAGCCTCGACCTGCCGGGCTCCGGCGATCCTTCCGCCTCAGCCTTCCACGTAGCTGGAACTACAGGCGCGCGCTACCACATCCGGCTAATTTTTTGACTTATTGTAGAGATGAGGTCTCACCAAGTTGCCCAGGCGGGTCTCGAACCCGTGGGCTCTGGCAATTCACTCACCTCAGCCTCCCAAGGCGTGGGATTACAGGCTGAGTCACCCAGCCTGGCTCTCTGCATTTATTAACAGCTACAATTATAACTAGTCCCACAAACCCATGTTATTTCTCATACATATTTTTAAAAGTAAGAGTCTAAAACAACCTCTATCCA